TATAATATTTATATTGAATAGATTACTGCAGGCGTGGCAATCACAAAAATTGTTTATCTTTCATAATTTTACAACATTTCAGACTTTTTGTGAGCTTTTATACAGATTCATCAAAAATGTTACGTTTTCTGTCGCTGTACTAAATTGGAAAAATCTTCTGCAAAGTTTTTGTTCCAAGATAAAAACAAAATCCCTCAATTTTAGTATTGACATCTTGATCAGAGAGATACAGATAGGAATTATTGATAACCGAAGTGCAGTATTATTTTATTTTTAAATTATTTTAAAATTATTTAATAACTTGACATTAGCCCAACTAAAACTTCTGAGAAGGAAAGCATATCTTTTATTTCTCGTTTAAATCTATATATTTTATATATTTAAAAGCAATTTTCAGCTTGAAGACATATGTATATAACACCAGTCAATTATTTAAAATTATTAATCATTTGAATATTTTATTATATTACCCCTTCTTTGACTTAAATTTATATTGCAGTCAAAAAGGTCAATATAAATATTATATTCGAAAGTCAAACTAAAATTGTAAACTAACTCGGGCACGTTGTAAATAAAACAAAAATAGAGAAATATTTTTTTTTTAGATCAATACCGCAGGAAGGCGTTCAACAAAGCTACATAAGTAAATATTTGGTGGCCTGGCGGGAAATATAGTATGCATGAATAATTAAATTGGGTCATCGATGGATTTGCCGACATTTGGCCAAGTTAGTTAGCGCTAGCAAATGGGCCAAGTAGTCAGTAGCTGGTATGTTAATGCTGACTCTGATCTATGTATGTGTTAGCGTTGACGCGTCTGGGTTAATAAACTTGTCGTCTCGCTGATGATAAATCAACTCGTCTTTGCATGACAAAAGCTGTTGAAGCTCTTAACTTACAGTCGTTTAAGTTGCTTACAAATCGACAGCTTGTGCCAGACCCTACAGACACTTACATATACATATACATATACATAAATACAAATGCCCATATGATACACTTATGTGTGCATATATACAAGCTTATTATGTTTATTTGGGATTGTGTATAGCCAAATCAACGGAATTTTCTGGCACAATGCGAAAAACAACATGAAGAAGCTGACAAATTGGCAAAGCCGGCATGCAATAAGGCAGAATATCTCAGCTCAATCTGCGATCTGACAATAGTCTTTAATTGACCTTTATACGAATTCTTTTGTAAGTTGCTAGAAACGGATTTCTGTTTTATAAAGACATGTATATTAATATTTGTATCTATAAATATATACATATACAAATATACATATCTATACCTAAAATTTCATTCATTTATAGCTTCTGTTTTGGTTAGGCTCTTGGATTAGCAGATTTATATAATCTAAACATATTTTACATAATCTAAATTTGTTTATCTTTTTTCAAGTTAACTCACATGATTTAGGCGTGCTGCTATTTTGGCATGCTCCTCCTGGTAGGCTTTGCGCGCCTTCCGTTTGTCCTGCGAGAGGTGAGAGAGCTTATCGCAGATCACCTCCAGCTGTTCGGCATTCAATTTGAACTGCTTGGCCTGTTGATCCAGTTCGTCCATATAGGATCGCCAGGATTTTGTGATAAGGCTGCCTGAAATGGTTAAGAAACAATGATTTCAATTATCATTGTAAACACTTTTAGCATGAAATTTCAGCTTTGTGACTCATCAGCGATAGAATTTTATAAGCTCACTTTGCAGCTGATAAATGATTCATTCACATCGATTGTAACCGAATCTCTTTGAATGGCAGCCAGACTTCAACTACAATACTACAACTCGTTATTCAATAGTATTACAGTCGAGTTAGGCCTTCTAAGATTTCATTTACCTCGATCCAAATAACTCTATATCTGAAGTTCATGGCCAAGGTTAAAACAAATTAAGAGTACGTCACGAAATGCATTGCAAAAAAGGCAATAAAGAAAAGCATAGCAAGAAAACTAAATCGAGAAAGAAATTCTATTTGTGGCACATCGACGATTAAATACCCTTGCAGAAAGTTGGTTTTATATACTTTATATTTAATTATAAACTATTAATTAAATGAAGTAAATCTCAAGCATTTTTTATAAGGAGTCTAGTCTGAAGTCTAGGTTTGTTAAAGAATCATACACTCCTCTACTTTTGTCTCTCTATTCTCTAGTCTCCATTCTCTAATCGCAATTCATTCAATATTTTGTTTAATATCCTCCACAAGGTAAAACATTTTACGAACATCTGCTGTTTCTGGAAATATCCGACCGATAAATAATTTGCCTGCAATTGTAAACAATATTCGTATTTCCATTGCTTTCTTAGCCAGCGACAGAATAATGTGGAAAGCAGCAATAGCAATTGCAACTTGGCAATGCCGTTTGGCGTTTGGCGATTGCCAAGCCAAGAAACGAACACGAAAAATTATACCAATTATTTATTTACGAGTTTATCTGGCATTGGTGTGGCCAGAGCTAGAAGCGACTAGAAGCAGCTGCACTTTGTCGACAGTTTGATGAGCTTGGCTGGCAAGGTGCACGGCTATATCTTTAGGATACAGATACATAGATGGATAGACTTCAGCAGCGTCAAAACAATTAACAGCTGACACAGATCAATATTGTAGTTTATATATAAAGATCTATGTAGAAATATATTCAGATATACATATGATGTATCTGTATATTTACATATATATATCGTCATGAATAGATATTTATAAAGTATTTGGCTGTTTCAAAACAAGAAAATGTTGGGTATATCATGTTAGTATCAACAAATTCACAGCAGAGCCAAGTCTTTGTCTTTTGAGTCAAGTAATATGATTCTGATATGCTATTTACATAGATTCAGAGTCTGAAAAAAAATTTTATGTGCATTTTCAGCACTCAGTTTCAATTGGAGTCAATGGGAAAAAATAATATTTCTTAGCCAGCATTTCATGGCATGTCATCAACGAATTACTCAGCTTTGCTTAAAGGTCATATTGCATTGTTGATTACTTTTAAGGATAACAACAAAATGTCTGGTGTATATATACATACACAAAGAGTTAAAAAGTTTGGAAACTGTGAGAAAAATGCAGCAATGATGTCATTTGGCTTTATAGGACTTAACTGTTATATGCTAAAGATCAAAGGTTAAACGGCAGCCTAATTGAATGTTATTGGCTTGTAGTATTAAAGTTTTTATGAAGCTTCAAATATGCCAAGACAAAAAGATAAAATTTTTTATTTTTATACTTTGAGTAAATATTGCTCTTTAAATTTTATATTTGTCTATTTATTTCTTCACTTTCCTTTGTCATTTCAATTTCTGGGACGGGTTGACCAGCCTGATTGAGGACTGACTAAAAGCTCTCTTAGCCTTACCCCTGCACTTAAGTCTGCTCTTACCCCTGCCCTCACCCCTACCCTGGGCACTCGCCAGCGAAAGTGAAAGCTTTGCGGCGCATCGCTCGCCGGCTTATCGGGCTCTTGTGACTAATGGCTGTGTGGGCAGTGCTTGCAGCGCGGCTTTGGCCAGGCCTTTCCCAAGCGACCCCAAACTGCAAAACAAGACTTATCGAGTGAGTAATGCAGAAGTTTAGTGCCCAGATAACTCAGCGTAAATTCCAAAAATGCTAATTTATGACGTAGGAGGAGTTGGAGTGCAAGCACATGTGTGATTCCATCTATAATCAAATACATATGTGCAAACATTTGCGTCTGTTTATGCAGCAAAATATTCTACATATTTTCAATGAGGTGACATATTGCTGTTATTTTCATTTAATCATTTTTTATTTATGACTAGAAATTTGTATTATCAATAGGACATAAATGAAAAGTTATGACTTATGTGAAAAGTATTTTTAAAATTGTTATCTTATTACTCATGCAGAAATTGAGCACAACTTCAGCCTTTGATAAGGAAGCAAAGAGAATTCAATGGCTTCATCAACAACCATATCCACTCCACACAAAACAGAGTTTATTTGGCAAACAGACTTACTCAGGAAAAACAAAGGTAATTCGGAAGTATTCTTAAAATCCTCGCTTATTCTATTTTTTTTAACCTTCGGTAAATAAAATAACTAAAACAAACCTATCAATTCGTACTTGAATGTTTTACGATCTGATAAGATAATATTACACCTAGACTGGTTTCTCTAGTCTAACTGCTCCGATTAGATTGCAAACACAAGTATCAAGAGAATCAAATGCCGTATTGTACTTCCGTGTGAACATTTTCCAATATCCAATTGATCTTAATTGCATTTTGGAAGATTTGTTACCAATTAATTTTGGTTTCGCTTTGTGTTTTTCAAATGAACTATTCAAATATATTTCTATTGTGTTTGTTTTTGAGCTATTTTAGATGGGATTATACTCGAAAATATGGCTAAACAGGGATTATGGTACTTAATGTATTTGCTGAGTCGGAAAATTAATTTATCTAAGCTTATTTTTCAGGTTAATAGCGGATTTTTAACCTGAATAATTGAGTTGGAAAGATTTTGTTATTGTTTAATAAGCGCTGATAGTTAAGAGATTACTTATGTATATATGATATTAATTGCTTAAAGATACATATTTTTTGAGATATTATTTCCTCTATTAGTATATCTATTGATATATTGTAAATGTTTTTAAAGATATCAGAATTTCATTATCCATACAATATAATAACTAAATATATCGTTTATTAATTAAAAATATCTATGAGAACTTCGATAAGCTCAAAATCCTTGATGTGATATAAAGTCTTCTGCAGCTTGTTTAGGAGCTGATCCCTATATATAGTATTACTATTTATTGAGCTGGATATAATGTATCTGCCGGTATACAGAGTACTCATACAATAGCTGAAATATATTTTGATATATATTTTATTGTATAAATATTTTTTAAGATATAAGAATTGTATTATCCATACAAAATATCAAACTAAACTTTTTGCTCTATAGTAAGAAATACTATCTATAGGAGTAAATGACATTTGAAAAACAAAATGAATCTTTAATTAAATAAAAATGTGAGCTACGACAAACTTCAGATCTTAGCTGGGATGTAAAGTCAGCTGCAGCTTGTTTAGGAGCTGGTCTTTATATGTAGTATGCAGAGCACTTCCGGTATACAGAGCACTCAAACCATTTCCAGCTGTCGTTCCGCGTATGACAAACAGAAATTAGTTTCACTTCAAAGTTATTGTGTTTGGAGTGTTATGGCATTGAGGTCGCACTACCTGCAAACACGGCAATCGGAGTTGTCGCAAAATGTTATCTAAGCAACAATTGCATTGAAAGCTATCTTATCAATTAAGTATCGGCAAACAGAGATTCTTGCATTGGAGAGAGTGCAGAGCGCTTGGCTTACCTTGCATTTCATCAGCCCGATCAATTTTGAGACCCTGTTGAGCGACGGCTATCAAGCCGATTGCGTACTCCTTGTCGCATTTGGCCTTCATTTGGATGGATCGTTTCATTGTCTCCATGAGACGCAGCTCCGCGTCTTGGCGCACGATTAGCGCCTCGTGAGCGGCGCGGCCCTGCAGGGCCGTGGAGAAGCCCATTTTGGCTCTGGTGTGAAATATTGCTTAAACGCTCGACGCTTCAAGTTTTTGGACGTATTTCTCTCTTAAATTTAATTTATTTTTCTTTGCGCTTTGCAAATGAGTCACAATTGCATGCTTAAATTGAACGAAGCGAGGGCTACAAAAGTATTAAACAACAAAATTAACTTCGCTCGAAGAGCATTGCGCAACGCGACACCGAAATTCACAAACATGTGGCAAACACTTGTTGCATGCCAATATTTATGGCTTTAAGCATGTGCTGCTGGCCAGAGTATTTTCCACTCTCTTTTTTGACACTTTTGACACTGTGCACACTGTGCACACGAAGGGCCTTCTGTCGCCGGCACTGAATCGAATCAATTAATATTTTCGTCACACACACATTGGAAATTTCTTAAGAAATACAATACAAATACAACTTTCACATGCACTGATTGTTGCTGTTGTTGTTGTTTGTTGCACTTGCTGCGACATTTGCTAAATACACGAGGCGACATTTCAATAACGACTTCAGAAATAAAAAAAAAAAAAACAAAAAACCTGCCTCGGGCAGCGAAGAGCCAAAAATAATTGTCAACACTTTTGGCTAATTAGCGGAATGTTTTTTTTCGGACAGACCATAAATTAACATGATTAAATGACGTTTCATTTCAGTTTTTGGTGCTCTTTTTGTCTGTCTCACGTCCGTTTTTCCTGTCAGTGGAGTTGAGCCTCTGAAGTTTTGAAGATTTTCCAAACTGCGTTTCTTCAATAATTGTTACTCTTTTCGTCGGCGAGTAAACTTGTTTTTCCCGCTCGCGGGCAAGCAAACAAAAATAAACATTGGCCCAGTCGCGGTGCAGTCAATAAGGAAACGACGCGACGGCGACGGCGAGTGCAGCACAAGTACGTGCATCTTACGGATACACAGATACTGGCACTGATACAGAACTGCGCCAGAACCACAGCACACAGCAACAACAACGGCAACAGTTTGACGTATTGTTTGTCTGTGCGTGTTTCGTTGTTCGTCTATATTGGAGTTTACCAAGTCAACTAAAACATAAACGGGTTAGACAGCCGCTGCCACAGCCGCTTCCACTGCCACAGGCAAGAGGCAGGCAACAACAACTTCAACTGCGATGGGGAACATCTGCACTTATAGATAAATTACAACAGCAACAACAACAACAACAGCGCCAAGAACCTGAACGTGTAAACGAAAGCGCCGTTATAAGTATATATAAAATGTAATTTTAAATTCATAAACATAAATGCACTCGCAACAGTGTAGAGAAGATCGGTTAGCAATTTTCATATAATTTTGCAGTAAATTTTTCGCAATTTCTTTTACACTTCATATAGTCGCACATAATCTATGGGCGGTTCGAGTTGGGGCGGGGCTGTCACTTGCAATTCGCGTAATCAGCGCGTAAACTTTTTGCACATACTACATTATCTCTGCATTAATATAAACATAAATAGATTGGGCTTTATGTGTGCGTATAAATAATATATGAATTTATCAAACTGTTGAATGCTGCCGCGACGGTTACCATGGAGACAAGTTTCGTAGCGTAAGATGCTCGCCCTCTCACATGGCCAATTTACAGAGCAATCCAACAGATGCCAATGCCAATAATACAGAGGCGCATAACGCACACACAAATCGGATGAAATCTCGATCTTAACGCAACGTGCCGAACGAACCGTCTGCCTCGAATGCTCAGCGCGAACTGAAACTCTGCAGACAATGGCGCTGATGAAAATGCCGACCAAAATGACGTTTCGCTGAGGCGAATTGGCACGAGAGAGAGAGAGAGAGAGAGAGCTTGAGAACCGGTTATGCACAACCCAATAAACAAATCGTGCGGTACACAAGCGTCTCTCAGCAAGCGAGTTCTAAAAAGGAAATGTTTTATTTCACTTTTCATAATTGAATGAAATTTAATTCTTATTGTATTACTACTGTATATAGTTATACATTCCCGGCATTATAAACATTGAGAGCTGGCATGATTTTAGAAATTTAAGGAAAGATCATTTCCTGGTATCTAAGGGTGGCCTTATTTTGCATACTTATGAAGAAATTTGTTTCTTATTACTTTTACTTTGAGTATTATTTATATTAATATAAAATGTAGCCTTTACTTGTATTTAATTTTATGCTCATCTTGCTTTAATCTCAATTTCAAATTGGTCCAATCAATATCGATTGGGAGTGCATTTTAGCTGAGCAAAGGATAAAGGAGTTAACTGTCTGTGAACTGTCTATGCACAGGCACTGCGGCAGACAGGCAGCCTGTTGCCCATTTAACTGGCCCCAGCTTCGTCTGGTTATTTTTATGGCTCTTCCCGCCATTCATTGTTGTCTTGCTAGTGTTTTTGGGGTTTACGATGTTTGCCGTTGTCTATGAGATTGCTAACGCGCTGTGTTCGATTATACTCGTTCACGTAATGAAACGAGTATATTAATATCGTGTAATTTCTAACTGAACTCACAAAATTTGCCAGATATAGAAAATGGAGATTTGAAATTTATAAACAGTACTTCTGGCTAACTTCGTCGTATAATATACTTTATAAATTGTTTGGGAATTTGAGACTTACACTTACATATAGGGTTTATAAATAAATAAAAATGTTGATACATATATCTATTAGCAGGGACATCTACAGAGAAGTTAAGTCCTTAATACTAAATGATTCTATTTTAAATATTGTGAAATGTTTTATTTTGTTTTAATGGCTAGGATATTTTCTACCGTCTAGAAAGTCATGTATTCATCGTTAATTGGCTACAAGTCCTCACCATTTCGCACTTCACTAGATTTTAGAACATCTTACATACCCAGTGAATACAAGTCATTATTAGTCTTAACTATGCTTAATCGCAAAAAAAATCTGTAAATTTGTTCATTATTCACGTGCGAGTCTTATACAATTGGTTCAGCCCGATTGCAATGCTTTAAGTTGTTTTACTTGTTCCCCCGCTATGCATCGATATCCTCATAAACAATTCATCTCGATGGCGACACTCCTAACTTAAAGATCCCTTGCGCTGTGGATGAATATTGAATAAATATTGAGCAGACTTAGCAGATATCTGTGATCCCATCCTGTTTGTTGAACTTAATTAATGCAGTTCATTTGCTCTTTTAAAAGTGTATTCTGAATTAATTGAAAACAACCTTAGCATTCTAGCTAAATTTCTAATTTTAGCAGCGACTATTGTTGCTTTGATTTATTTAGTTTTCGATTGTTTTGAAAACGCTTGAGAATTCACATGCTGAGAGAATGCGTCGGGCATGTGTTTGTACATCAGAAGAAAATATAGGCATATCTGCTGAACCTTTGAAAAGTTCGCAGCCAATTGAAGCTAATGAACAAATTATATTGCATTTGCACAGTGGAAAATAGCAGACCTTATGCAAGAACTCCACAACGAGCTGAATTCTTTCTCCACTTACGCATATTGTCCGTAACGACCTGAAATTATATCGCAGTAAACTGGAACTGGAACTGCAAGACAATAGCAACTCGCAAAATTGTGTAATAGAAGAAACATAAATTGCCCTGGGTATGCGTTGAATGTGAGAAGGAAAACTAAATAATTCAGTAATATGTATGAATAGTGCTAAACATAAGCATAAGTTCAACATTTTCACATTTCCTTAATTCCATTCGATCGCATAACAAATATTTAATAACTTTTCATTCGCTCTCTCTCTCTCTCTCTCTCTCTCTCTCTCTCCCTCTCTTTCTCGATCTGTCTCTTTTTGTGCTACACCAATGCATAATTACAGTAGAAATAAAAGACTTTTGCTGCACTCTGAAAAAATTCCAAGCAACAGTTCCTTGCTGTTTAGCATTCTGCTCAGATGGAACCTATTGAGGGAGCTGCCCACAGCAATACCATTTTATTGGTATGTGTAAGAATTTACACTAACAACAACAACAACAGTAAACATAGCGACGATGATAAATGAAAAGACAATGACAAGAACTACACCAATAAGTGAAAGAGAGGGCTGAACGACTAAATACCCTGTAGACAGCAAGAAGGTGCTGGAATTTCATTTATAAATTCCTTAAATAGAGGTGTCATTTTTATCAGCATTAATTGAAATTAAGTCTTATTTATCTATGTATTCTAAATTATAAAAGTTAATCAGAGTACTTGGAATCGTCTTGAGTTATTAAAAAAAAAAAAAGATACCGCTTCAGTTCTTTACATTATGACAAATAGGCATTTTGGAATGTACAGAAATCTTCAATTTTTAAATACAGGGTATACAATTTAAACAACAATATGAATGCCGAACAATATAATATAGAAATTACAATGTCTTTCAAGCAACAAATATTGCAGTATTCTTTGTATTTAAATGTAAATTTAAGTTGATTTACGCGTGAGCACATACACATAAATATATTCATGTATATATATTTAGATAAATATTTCTTCATATGTATATGAATAGATATATTTTCATTCCAACCACAACCACATTTATTAGGTTATATTTTATAATAATATTCTTCGCAAGCTATAATGACACAAGCTTTCGATATTTAAGGACCATGAATTATTTAATCTTTCTCTAACGGCTTTTGATGCGCTGAATTTGAATCTAAAATTAACTCTCTATAATGTGATGTGAACGAAATGTAAGTGGAATACCTATTTCTTAGCTACAGCTCAAGTACTTTTATTTTCGCTAATTCTATTTAATAATTTTATAGATTAATTATTTTATAAGGAAATATCCCTATAATCTTGGCGATGAAATGTCTAGAATTTTTGTTAGGCTGTCGGATTTCACTATAATAAATACAAGCAACACATATTATAAAGTTAAAATAAGAGAAATTGTGTGAAAATCAATTCAATCTTAATATTTCTATATTGAAAATGTTACTAATTCCAAATGTACTTAAAGTTCTTCTCCAAAAATTGTATCTTAAGTTTAAAAATATTATAATTAATAGTTAGGTTTAGTAAGCAATTTAGCTTTTATGGATTGTTAACTAATATTATAAGTATATATCATAGGAATAGTTTAAATACAAATAACTAAATCTTTTTGATAAATGATTCATGAATATATGAAGCCAACAACTTTAGTCAAATAAATCCTTTAGTCGTATATTTGTATTTATCTTTATAGATTATTTTTTATAATCATTTTCCACGATTATTTATGCTTTGAGGATTTATTAGAAATAAGCAACCAATACATGACTTCAACCACCAACATTTTACGAAAGCTTCAAAATCAAAATTGGTTTTCAAAATTAAGACATCAATTAATATATAGGCAATGCTATTTATTAAACAAAATATGTATGATAAATATATGTATTCTTTGAAAATTAAAGCTTAAACTATATGTAGATGTACATATGTATGTATGTTTTTGTAGATATACATATACATACATGTTAATGCATATACATATTTATGTATATATTACGCACGATCTTTGCTTCTTGAAAATTTGATTCACAAATTGATTCGCTCAATTGATTTTAATTAATGTTAATTTGAGGCCCGATGCTTCATGTTTGCTCTCCAGTAAACTTATAAGATATATACTTTGCTGTAGATATGTAATTCCTTTGGAGCATTTAAACGCTTAAGTTTATGATTCCGATGAAAGGTTTAATGCATATTAGATATGCAGTAATAATGCGTAAATTGAGGTGTTTAATTAATTGATGTATTTTTAATGTCTAATGGACTCTTATGCCGTTAATTGTTGTGGCGCTAAGACCACATTGTCACCCGTCAAATCTCACACGTAACCGCATGAAATTCTCATTTATCACACCTTTATAAATGCGTCCGCTTAGCTGGCGATAGGGTCATAGTCAAGCAGTATTCCTTCGCCATGCAGTCTCGAGATGAGCTCATGTACAACTATGAGGACTTCACTTGGATACCGACCATTAGCTACAGGCTCTGTGGCTTCGATGTACTCGACACACCCAACAAGCCGCGTCCCCTCTGGATGAAGCTCTATCACTGGGCCTGCGTCTGCTCACACATCTGCTGTGTGTGCTTCATGTTTCGGCGCATCATTGAGAGGGACACAATCAATAATATCTCGCTGGTTATGCGCTACGCTACTCTGGTGACCTACGTCGTTAACTCGGACACAAAGTATGGGACATCGCAGCAGAAACAGGCTTTCCAAAGGCTTAATGGTAAACTGGCTGAGCTCTTTCCGAAAACTAAGCAGTCCAAGATCGACCATCGAGTCGATGAGTACTACTGGCCACGCCCCACAATTGTGCTGATTGTGGTTTACTATGGATCGTCGGCAATGGTCGTGCTGGGACCTCTCCTGCAATCAGGGTATATATACCTGATGGAGAATCGCTTTTCTTACGTGCACTGTTATCCGTACTATATATTCGATCCGGATCAGGATCCGCTGTGGCAATACTTTCTCATTTACACCTTGGAGTGGCTCCACAGCACCCTGATGGTCATATCGAACATGAGCACCGATCTGTGGCTGGTCAGCTTTGAAGTACAGATTTGCATGCACTTCGATTATATAGCCCGATCGCTAGAGAACTATAAGCCCAATAGCACTCGCGACCCCAAAGATCGAAAGTTCATTTCGCAAATAGTGAACAGGCATAATGATTTACTAGAGTAAGTATATGCCTATGCCAAAGGGAAGATTTAAGTAATATTCACAACCTCAACTTGTAGACTTCAGGAGGAGATTAATGGCATCTTTGGCAGCTCTCTTTTGTTGAGTCTTCTAACCACTGCGGGCGTATTTTGCACTGTGGCCGTTTATACGCAGATGCAGGGACTTAATCTGGAGGGTATCACCTATGTGGTATTTATGTTGACGGCCTCATCTCTGGTCTATCTGGTTTGCTATTACGGGGAGAAGGTCAAGACTTTGGTAATAATTACACGATAGTTGCATTTGAAGGAATATTCATTTTGGACCATCTATGCAGAGCACATATATAACAAATGCCGCCTACAATCACAACTGGTCAGATGCACCGCCGGACTACAAAAAGTCTTTATTGATTATTATCGCGCGCGCCCAGAGACCAGCCGAACTGACAGCCATGGGCTATCTACCAGTATCACTGGACACATTTAAGCAAGTAGGTAGAGATCAAGGCTCCATTGGCTATTGGCTATAATTTTATATTACAGGTAATGACTGTTACTTATCGGGTCTTTGCGCTAATCAGACAAATGATTGAGTAAACATTTAATGTAGTTTCTTTCCTTTAATATTTATTACTTAGCACAGCATAATTCATCTACATATGTATGTAAGTAGCGTATATCACTTGGGATCTGTGGGCAGCTTGAAGCCAACAAGATCTGCCGTTTCTTTAACTGTGCGCTCGCCACTACCATGATACTCCTTGTATAGCTCGTTGTATTTGCGCAGGCTGCTCAGATAGGTTAAATAGGTTTGGCCCAAGAAGATTGCCTCGTCGCGTGCCTTGCATAGCTGCTGATCGGTTGTCTCATATTTCTTATACTGCGCCAGAATATAACGGGCGGCCAGAGAGTCTCTAATTTTGCCAGGCGACTGAGAGGCCAGTCGTAGCTCGTGTAACAGCGAGCGTAGAACTTTTGTTCCCGCCATTTAGTAGAAACTTAGCTTTGACTTAAAATCCAAACAAATAGTAAATATTCACGATTATGTGATTGCCGAATTAATAATATTAAACAGCTGTTTGATATGGAGCTGCCACTCGGTTGACTATCGGATTTCTGTACGATTGTGGCAGCGATACGTTGCCATGCTAATAATGTGGCCAGACTATTTTTTGTATACCGCGGCAAATTTGAAACGTTTTATCACATACTGAAGTTGATCAATTCAAATTTAAAATCATTATATTGGATGAGCTTATTAAATGAACCAAGACTATTCAATTTTATTAAAATAATTCAATATTTTTTAATACTGATGCAAGTCTAAAATGTATGTTCTCTATTTATTCCTATCGTACATTTGCTTTTGCAAAAGAAAACGTAATTGATGATTTCAAAATATTAATATTGTTGATATTAAATGTACAAATACTTGCTGGAGTTGAACAAAATGTAGACCACTTCTCTAAAAAGTAAATTAATAAAACAGCAAGGTAAAAAAATTTTGCATTTTAAGCAGTTGTTAATAACATTAAGTGGAAATTCTGCAATGTACAATAAGAGTGTTGCCAGACTGCCAGAAGACATGGGCATATTTATATAGTGATAGTGATCAGATGTTTTATTATACTGCTTACATCTCAGGCAAAGTGCGCAGCGAGTATATTATTTTGCAGAAATTATAAAGTAATATAATATAGGGACAATGAGCAAAGCTGCTAACAGTAAGTTAAAATAGTCAGTTTTTTAATATATAAATTAACATTAACATTTCCCGGGAAGTTTTGCGTGTTGCTTTGTTGCAGTTGAGAGGCTCGAAAGACAAAACGGCCAATGTACTAAATGCCGTTAGTAAAATTGAACAGGCTGTTAAGGAGCATAAGCCACGGCTCATAACGTTGCCCGAGTGCTTTAACTGTCCCTACGGCACCAAATACTTTCGCGAGTACGCGGAACATATTCCAGATGGCTACACGAGCCAGCAGCTGTCAAAGGCCGCATTGGATAATCAGATCTATCTCATTGGCGGCACGATTCCGGAGTTGGGGGAGAACGATGCCATTTACAATACGTGCACCGTTTGGGGTCCCAATGGCGAGTTATTGGCCAAGCATCGGAAAATGCATCTGTTCGATATTGATGTGAAAGGCGGCATTCGATTCAAGGAGTCGGAGACTCTGTCGGCCGGCAACGACTTCACTATTGTTAACGTTGATGGGCACAAGATCGGGATTGGCATCTGCTATGACATTCGCTTTGAGGAGATGGCACGCCTCTATCGCAACAATGGCTGTGAGATGATTGTATACCCGGCTGCATTTAATATGACCACTGGTCCTTTGCACTGGGAACTGTTGCAGCGAGCGCGCGCTAATGATAATCAGCTCTTTGTGGTAACAACCTCGCCGGCTAGGGACACCTCTGCCGAGTACGTTGCGTACGGCCATTCCATGATTGTGGACCCATGGGCCAAAGTCCAGAAGACTGCCGACGAAAGCGAGCAGATTTTAGTCGATGATATTGACTTTTCTCTAGTTGAGCAAGTGCGTCAACAAATTCCCGTGTTCAGCCAGCGGCGTCTTGACCTCTATGGCACCGAAAAGAAATCCAAATGATTTATTATTGCATTTATCTTGTTACGTCTATTATATACGAAATGTGTTTCTAAAATCAAATATTGCTCAATAAGGGATCCTCTCATTTTAAGGTGCCTGACGCCTCCGACTCCCCAGTAGGTGCTGACATGCCGAAATGCGGACGCTGCACTTGACCGAATAGTGCGCGTATAGCTTCATCCGTCGCCATAAGTGGCTGGCTAACAAATTCAAGTGCCTAGAAATAAATACATATATGTATAAATTGGTTCCACCTGTTGCCTAGCTATTCTCCATTTGGAACTTACCTGTACGGCGTACTTCTCTGCCTCACAGAGCGGACTACTGGTGGCACTCGAAAGCTTTAAGGTCGTTTCGGGTATGCCCAATCCGGAGTGCAAGACCATGCGCTGTAGGATGTTTAGGTTCTCGGCGCTTAGACTGATTACATCCGTGGCAGGCAGATTCAGATAGCGTATTTTTGCGAGGAATTTCAGGTGCTTCAGGATGTCCAGTTGAATTTCACGTATTTGATGTGTGGTGTGCATCAGTTGCTTGGTCGATTCGTTCAACATTTGGTTCTTTTGCGTCAGATCGGCTTTCCAGCGCGCCAGCTCCTCGACCATCACGCTGCTGGCCAAGAACTTGGAGCGCCACACTTCGCATTGGCTGGCCAAGAACTCGATTTGCTCCGTGTGTGTCGTCAAATTGTTGGCCGTGTCGAGTAGAGCGCGAGCCAACTGCAGCTTATCCTCGGTTAGCAGGTTGACCCGTGTCTGTAGGTCCTCGCCAACGGAAGCCACTAGCAGGCTCTTCAGCTCACTGTTCACTTGTGTCTGGAATTTATATTGCGCCTTGAAGTGATCTCGCTCCTCTTGCATTTTAGCCAGCTCTTGCTTCAGTCGCTGCACTTCCTCGCTGCTTGCGCTGGTGGTATCGGTGGTTTTGGCATCGCCATTCTCTTGGATAAGTTCCTGGGTGCGCAACGTCGATACCTGATCCGCCAGAACGCCAATGTCTAAATTGTTTTTGCTAACCCTCTGAGTCCTCTGCTTAGCGGCTTGCTGTGCCGGAGTCATGGGATTCACGGCACCCGGATACGGTTCGTAAGGCACGAATTTCGGTGGTTTGGTTTTCTTATGCTCCGGCAGTGGTTCAGATGTGCTCACCAGCCTGGGTTTAAGCTGGATAAGTTCACCCTTGGGCAGCACAGGTGCAAGGCTGCGGCTCATCACGTCGGGGCGCCGGTAGAGCGTGTGTAAGCCAGGCAACGGCAGCGAAGCAGTGTTACTACTGCCCTGGAACGTCCTCGACTCAATTACCGCTTCCTGGACTATCGTGCTGTCCTTACGCGGTAATTGAGGTCGCTTAGTCTTAACGGCTTCGAAACTGGCTGACGACGGCTCTTCGTGTTCCACTTTCGCTTTGGTCGCGACGTCAATGTGTTCCATGCCATCACCGCTCGTGCGACAGGACTGAGCTCTGCTCTCGCCATCGTTTTCTAAGGCATCTGTATGCATGGCTTTCCTTTTCTTTGAATGACAAGGTTTTATATCTGTATATTTATACCTAAAAAATTTTACATCAATTTTGTTGCCAACAAAACAAAAACAATGGAAATGAAGAGCTGCCAACTCGTTTATTAAATAGTCGAGCGTTGCCAACTCACTTTTGCAGCGCTGCAATTGTCTTTGCAGTCTATATATGTATAGTGAAAAATCGATCAATTTTGATTTACTCAGCGAAATTAACAACAAATTGGTTACGCGCTGCGTTATCTAAAGTTCCCGTGACGCATATAGCAGGAATTGCAGCAGAGCGAATGCTCGTAAATGTCGATGTGGGCGTTCATATGCAGATAAAATCCTTTAGCATTGATGCTCTGCCGGCAGCTGTGCGAGTATGTCGACGACGGAGAGTGAGCTGCTTCGAAACATAAATGAGAAAATCGAACTGATTGAGCCTAGCACAGGAAAACTGTTTTTCGAACACAAAACTGAGCTGGTGTTTGTGAACCCGCGCCTGATGCCCCTAAAGTCTCAGGCCTTGGAGAGTCTCGAGGAAATGCATCGAGAAACTGCACGCCAGCTGCAACAGAAACGCACAAAGCGCAACAATAACAGCAACAACAATAACAAGAAAGAGACCGCTGCTGAAGCCGAAGCATTGGCTTCGGCCATCTAATAATAAGGATCATCAAGTATAATTATTTGCAAGCAGCTTTAAGATGGCCTACTTGCTGACCTTTGGCGTAATTGGATCACTCTTCCTGGCCAGCTTAATGCTCTATCGATATGGCAACATTCCACGTCAACACATCCTTGTGACACTGTCCGTGCTGACGGCCTGGTGTTTCTCCTTTCTGATCGTGTTTACCATACCGCTGGATGTGACATCGGTAAATGGTCTCAAATGGCAAAAAATATACATATGTATATCTAATATGATTTATTGGTTTTTACAGACTCTGTATCGGCAATGCGAGGAAAAACTTAAGCCGATGCCAGAATCCGAACTGGGAAACAAGGACAACGGCAGCAATATAACAACCACTCCCGCAAGCAACAATGTACACCCAGTCGAATGCCAGGAACCCTGGGGCATGGTGCCGGCCTCCGTGTTTCCCAATTTATGGCGCATCATCTATTGGAGCTCGCAGTTTCTCACGTGGCTTATTATGCCACTGATGCAATCGTATCTCAAGGCGGGCGACTTCACCATTAAGGGCAAACTCAAGTCGGCATTGATCGAGAATGCCATCTACTACGGCTCCTATTTGTTCATATGTGGCGTGCTGCTCATTTACATTGCTGTCAAGGGAGTATCACTGGACTGGCAGAAGCTGAAAGCGATTGCCTCCTCAGCATCCAATACTTGGGGTCTCTTTTTGCTTGTCCTGCTGCTTGGCTATGCCCTGGTTGAGGTGCCCCGTTCACTGTGGAACAATGCCAAGCCGGGATTTACGCTGCAATACGCATACTTTAAGGCCGCGAAGCTCAGCACAGATAAGGCTGAGGCGGAGGAGCATGTCGACGATGTGCTGGAGTCGCTGCAGTGCATCAGTCGCGCTGTGCCCAACAACCATGAGCTACGACCGTGCGTCGAGACAATAATGCGAAAAGTGCCAATCGAGCTGCAAGAAAGAGCCTCTCGAAATTTCGCCCGCAGCGGTGGCAGCAGCATGGGCGCCACCACCTCCACCATTGTGCCCTCGGAGAAGGCACTCGTGCGCATACACAAGCAGGTGATCAAGTCCCTGCAGACACTGCAACGAACTGAGGCGTTGTGGAGCGTGCAGGTGAACACGGTGCTCCATCTGGAGGACGTCGCCCGCAACGTGCACTCGGCTGAACGTCGCTTCAAAACGGAATTCCCGCGCCAGCGCTCGCAGCTGGAACGAGTCTGCTATAGCGCCACAATACAATGGTACTGGGAGTGCCTACTGAAGGCGCCGTTCCTCAAGGCCCTGTGCGTGGTGACGGCCACCATGTCTGCCATGGTCGTGTGGAGCGAGCTGACCTTCTTCTGTCGCCGGCCCGTGCTCTCGATATTCGCGAACGTCATCAACGTAGCCAACTCGAACAACGACTTCTTCACCATTGAGCTGTTCTCTATGATTGTGCTGTGCTACTTCTTCTACTGCACCTATTCCACCATTCTGCGCATACGATTCCTCAACTTGTACTACCTGGCACCACATCACCAGACGAACGAGCACAGCTTGATATTCAGTGGAATGCTGCTCTGCCGATTGACCCCGCCCATGTGCCTCAACTTCTTGGGACTCATTCACATGGACTCGCACATAATACAGAAGGTGAGTCAATTGAATATCCAACGCCTCCACGATATTTAGTATTTGCTTTTGCACCTTTGCAGCGCATTATGGAGACATATTACACGCAGATAATGGGCCACATGGACGTCATTGGCATCATCTCCAATGGCTTCAACATTTACTTTCCTATGTGCATGCTGGCCTTTTGCCTGGCCACCTGGTTTAGCCTGGGTAGTCGGGCGCTGAATGCAATGGGCTTTCAGCAGTTCCTGCAGCATGAGACGATTGCAACGGAACTGGTGCAGGAGGGCAAGGATTTGATAGCGCGCGAGAAGCGACGCCGGCAGCGGGCTGAGGAGGCAATCGCCAGGCGGCGCGACTTTTCCCGACCCGATGCGCTGCCCAGCCATGACTACATCGGCAAATACAGGGGCGGAGCGGCTGGAGGTGGCCCAGGCAGTGGCGGCGTTGCTGCTGCATTTGGCAGCAGTCGCACGCCGGCTGATGGACTGCTGCGTGATGGAGACGTCGGCTACGACTACGCCGCTGTCGCCTCCTCGTCGGCCCTGGGCGTGCCGCGCTCTCTGTCCGAGGAAATCAATGAACGCTTCGGAGTCAGCACTCAAATGCAAGTGGGATTCCGTGGCGCCAATGAACAGGACGATGAGGAGAACGAACGTCGCATAGTAGGGCCGCCGCCGCGGGGACTTTTCGACGATGTTTAGAGGGCTCGAAATCCACATTCTATTGTATTTTCAAATGTGTATTGCTGTATAAGTCAATAAGATATATATTATCTCAAGTTCTTTAGTTAATTTAATTTACATTTAAGCTTTTTCGCTGCTGTTCCTGTCACAAATATTCTAATCATTTAAATAAATACAATTAACGAAAAGTCTTTCCGCGTAACGGGTATCGCCTGTAGGTCTTCTGCTCGTTGCTCCAGTTTTGCACACAGCCGTCGTCCAGCATGGAGGCCTCCGCATCCATGGAGCTACTCTTGTCGCCATCCTCCTCGTCCGAGCTGGATCGTTCGCAATACGTTTGGCTCTGCAGCTCCGACACGGGATGCGGCTTGATTCTCTTGCGACCACGCACGAAGCCGCAGCGTGAAGTAAGCGGCGTATCGAGCACTAGAAGTGACATGACAGACTACAGACGTCATAGACTCTGACAGCTCCTCGCTGAGCTGCTGCCCTGTCAAAGTTGACAGGCCCGAGGATGAAAAGTAATGAAATGTCAAAACAAATATTGCTTTTTTTTAACTCGGCTTTTATTGTCTGCTACGGTTGTCGCACCATTTAGGAAACAAAACATTGAACTAAGTAACAAGTATCTAACACAAGTGGGAAGAGTCTTACGTGTGTATGTATGTATGTTGTAGTCGGTCGCTTGTTTCTTCTTCTGTTAAGGGTTGCGCGTATGTGGCGTAGTAGCTTCGTATTTAATGTAAAACATGTGTGTGTGTGTGTTTTTTTTCTTTTTTAATCTCTGGTTTCTAACTATTCATCGCCGCCGCCCTCCTCATCTTCATCGAATTCGCCCTCCTCGTCGGCGGTGGCCTCCTGGTACTGCTGGTACTCAGATACCAAGTCGTTCATGTTGCTCTCGGCCTCTGTAAACTCCATTTCATCCATACCCTCGCCGGTGTACCAGTGCAAGAAGGCCTTGCGGCGGAACATGGCCGTGAACTGCTCGGAGACGCGCTTGAACAGCTCCTGAATGGCCGTCGAGTTGCCAATGAATGTGGCTGACATCTTCAGTCCCCTGGGTGGAATATCGCAAACGGCTGTCTTGCAGTTGTTTGGTATCCACTCGACGAAGAAGCTGCTGTTCTTGTTCTGTATGTTGAGCATCTGCTCGTCCACCTCCTTCATGGACATGCGGCCGCGGAAGATGGCCGCAACGGTCAGGTAGCGTCCATGGCGTGGATCGCAAGCGGCCATCATGTTCTTGGCGTCGAACATCTGCTGGGTCAGCTCGGGCACGGTCAGGGCGCGGTACTGCTGCGATCCACGCGAGGTCAGTGGCGCGAATCCGGGCATGAAGAAGTGCAGACGTGGGAAGGGCACCATGTTGACGGCTAGCTTGCGCAGATCAGCGTTCAGCTGGCCGGGGAAGCGCAAGCAAGTGGTTACTCCCGACATTGTGGCCGACACCAAGTGGTTCAGATCACCGTAAGTGGGCGTGGTCAGCTTCAGTGTGCGGAAACAGATGTCATACAATGCCTCATTATCGATGCAGTACGTCTCATCCGTGTTCTCCACCAGCTGATGGACGCTCAGTGTGGCATTGTAGGGCTCCACCACGGTGTCCGACACCTTGGGTGACGGTACAACGGAGAAGGTATTCATGATACGATCGGGATACTCCTCTCGTATCTTCGAAATGAGTAGGGTGCCCATGCCCGAGCCGGTGCCCCCGCCCAAGGAGTGAGTTAGCTGAAAGCCCTGTTAACGCAATTAGTTACCCCATTCCGGGAGATTCACCTGACCTGCCCATTTGCATTTGCACTCACCTGTAGACAATCGCATCCCTCAGACTCCTTGCGAACCACGTCAAGCACCGAGTCAACCAGCTCTGCACCCTCGGTGTAGTGACCCTTGGCCCAGTTGTTGCCTGCGCCAGACTGGCCGAAAACGAAGTTATCGGGCCGGAAGATCTGGCCGAAGGCGCCTGAGCGCACAGAGTCCATGGTGCCCGGCTCCAGGTCGACAAGTATGGCCCGAGGCACATACTTGGCGCCAGTGGCCTCATTGTAGTAGACATTGATGCGCTCCAGCTGCAAGTCACTGTCGCCGTAATAAGTTCCCGTAGCATCAATGCAATGCTCGTCCGAGATGACCTCCCAGAACTTGCCTCCGATCTGGTTGCCGCATTGGCCAGCCTGGATGTGCACAATCTCGCGCATGATTACGTTTACGAGTACGAGAAACTATGAAATTCAAATTTTGTTGGAAAACGTATCCAAATTTTCTGGATAGCAATTCCGATTTTATTTATTTCCGGAAGACAGAAACCGGATTTTACTGATTTTAACGTATAATTTTCTTACTTTTCTCTATACGTGTATCGTAGTCGAGTCGATGTTGGAATGAGACTACTACAAATTCCAAATGCTAATGTACCCTATGGAACTACTGGGATCGTACAAAATTCGAATTGGAGAGACTGGTTTGCTTAGGTTCGAGTTTTTTCGTCACATATATTTGAGCAAGTTGACTTGAATATGATTTAGTTTAGTAATACGATTATCTAGTTGTGGGATTTACTTCTATGGTGGTTGAGTTCTCTACGGGCGTCTCTAAAAGACTTTTACAATTTGGCATCCCTTAAGGTGGCTAGACTACGTGATATGGCCACAAGAATTTGGCATTCATGTTCACTTCTATTGTCTATTAGACGGAAGCACGCTTAAGGCATAGCGTGCTTTCAATAATATCCATTGGCTGGAAGTCCGGGTCGACAAATGGCTCGTGGTTCAGGCAGCGGGTTCCACCCATACACGTGCAAGAGCACAGCGACACCGTCTCGTCGTTCTCCGTCGTGTAGTTGTTCTCCAAGAGCTTGCCTTGCATATTGTACGTCGACTCGTCGTCGTACGTCAGCGGCTGATTGCCAGCAGCCAGATTCTGAGCATCTTGCTCGTCCCGCTTGGCGTCCTCGGCTTGCCTGCGCGAGAAGGAAAAATAAATGAAAATGGCATTCTACATTTTTGGAAATAATTAGAGCGTCATACTGACATGGTCATGAATCGCAATACGAGCAGATTGATACTAGCAGCGACCACTGCCAGTCCAAACAGTATGAACACCAAGCTGAGGGCAACATATCCAGGCTTGTTCGTCAGGGCCTGGTCGTTTTGTAGAGCCACGTAGTCTCCAAATCCGATTGTCGTCAGCGTGACGAAGCAATAGTAGAAGCTGTCAAAGTAGCTCCAGCCCTCATAGCGAGAGAACACTGCGGCGCCTGTTGTTATTATGATGGAGGAGAGCATCCCAGTAGCCAACATAAGATTCATTTCGGTCGCATCCGTGCACCGCGCTCCACTGGCTCGCTTCGCCCTCCTAATTATTACGGATGCAAACTTATTCAGGCGCTCACCAATGGACTGGAACATGACCAGCCCGAGTGGAATGCCAACCTGAAATATATTCATAAATATGTTATTAAAATATCTGATTTTGTTTGACAACATTTGGTGACTAAGTATTCCGGTTGGATCATACCATCGCATAGAACATTGTAAATAATTTGCCGGCCACAGTGGTCGGGGTGGAGTGTCCATATCCTGAAAAGAAAATGCATAAAACTAACATTTGCTTCTTTCCAGGCACACAGACCATTTATAGATACACACCTTACCGTTACCAATATTCAAGTTAGGTTATTATTATTACATATCAAATACAGAATACATACATTTATAAATACCAATATACATACATGGTATAAAGTATATAAATTTAAAAAATATACTTAAATCGTTTCTTGCTGAAATGAAACCCAAACTGTTTTTTTGCATAAAAAAAATATAAATATATTAAATAGTTTTT